TGTGTGTGTGTGTGTGTGTGTGTGTGTGTGTGTGTGTGTGTGTGTGTTTTCCTTTCGTTCTTGATGGGAGACAGAGATCCATTTGAATATTGGGGTAAGAAGCAGCTTATACATGGTCAATGAAGCAGTTCAAGGTAGTTATTCTGGCGTTAGTCCTTAGGTTCTGTGGCAGTGGTTCTCAAGGGTTTTGGGGGAAGCTGAGCTGGCTCCAGGGGTCCTAGCCTCTGCTTTACCTAGAGAAGCTTTACTTTTCTGATTGGTATGGGGTTTTGAGTAAGGCTGCATTTGAAAAAAAGATGTTCTAAGAAAGAAGAAAAAAACCCTACAGATTAGGGAATGATGGCTAAAAACACTTGCTGAAAAGAAGCCATATACCTGATAAATATTTTGTCATGAAATGGTCTATATAATTACCTGAATCTGCTTTTAAAGAAATATTTGTTAGATGCAACTTTAGGCATAACCCTGCTTTGCTCTAGTGCCTATAACTGCTTTTTTCTTTGAAACTATGTTTTGAGTTGAAATTTTTATTTTTTTGGCTGCATTGGATCTTCGTTGCTGCACGCGGGCTTTCTCTAGTTGTGGCGAGCAGGGGCTACTCTTCATTGTGGTGCGCGGGCTTCTCATTGCGGTGGCTTCTCCTGTTGCGGAGCATGGGCTCTAGGCGCGGGCTCAGCACGCGTAGCCAAGCTTTTTGGTAAATCAGGATCCAGTTCAGGATTGTACATTGCATTAAGCCGCTGTCCTCCTTAGTCTCCTTTATTTTTCCTTTTTGATAGTTTTACTGCTTAAGCTTGCCTCCCCAAACACCGTAATTTGGTTTTGCCTGTTTTTGGGGCTTTGGATACTGCGGAAGTCCATTTATTTATTCTCTGGATGGGTTGCTCTTACTCTACATCAGGTTTCTAAGAGTCATCCATGTTGCTGCATGTAGCTGTTCGTTTTTGTTGCTTCGGTGTATGAATATACTGCATTTGTTTATCCATTCTCCTTTTGGTGGACATTCACTGTTTGCAGTTTTTAGCTGTAACATAGTAGAATGTTGCTCTGAACATTCTTGTGCTTGTCCCTTGAGGTACACGTGTATGTCTTTTATGTGATCTTGTGGCTCCGAGTGGAATTGTGTCTTGTACTCTGTCCCTGTGCTCAGCTTCAGATTCTGCGTGCAGTTCTCTTGTAGCAAGTCACACTTGGCCATCAGTGTATGAATATTCCAGCTGTTCCACAGCCTTGCCAAGCTTGATATTATCAATCTTTTTCCTTTTAACTCTGCTGGTGTCACCCTTTTATGTATTTAATTACCATTTGGGTATCTTCTTTTGTGAAGTGCCTGATTAAATCCTTTGCTCATCTGTCTGTTGGATAATCTGTCCTGCTGATTTGTAAAAGTTTTTATCAGTTCTTGATACCAGCGTTTTGTTGGTTATACGAGTTTGTAGTTATTCACTTTGTTGCTTTTTAGCCTCTTAGTATCTTTTGGCAAAGAGAAGTTCTTAATTTTAAAACAGATTTTTCAGCCTTTCTTTTATGGTCAGTTCCTGTTGTTCTGTTGAAGAAATCTTTCTCTACCTCTAGGTAACAAAGAGTATGTATGCACCTTTATTATTGTCTAGAAATGTTAATGCTTTGCCTTTCAAATTTAGATCTGCTATCTACCTGAAATTGATTTTTTTAAACAACTTTATTGAGGTATAATTTGCGTATCATAACATTCACCTGTTGTAAGTGTGTAGCTTGACGATTTTTGGTAAATTTACTGAATTGTATAACCATCGCCACATTCCAGTTTTAAAACATTTCCATCACTTAAGAAGTTGCCTCATGCTGTTTGTAATCAGTTCCTATTCTGCTCCCAGCAACCACTGATCCGTTTTCTTGCTCTGTGGAACTGCCTTTTTTAGAAACTGCGTATAAATGGAATCATATGTAGTCTTTTGCTTTAGCTTCTTTCCCTTGGTATAACTTTAAGGTTCACCCATGATGTGTATCATGTATTAGTAGTTCATTCCTTCTTATTGCTGAATGGTATTCCATTGTAGGGGTAGACCATACTTCGTTTATACTATCTGGAATTGATTTTTGTGCGTGATACAAAGTATGGCTCTCATGTCATTTTTTTGTATTTAGATATCTGATTGTCCCAACACTGTTTAGTGAAGATTCTTCCTCCCCGCTTAGTGCCCGCCTTGGTTGTAAATTGGTTTTCCTTATACTGTAGGTCTGATGGTCTGTACACTGATTAGAAACCACTGCCACCACTCTGCCTCAATTAACTGGTGCTAAAATAAGTCTCAATACTGGTTTTTTTCCTAAATCCTAAAGCTATGCTGTTCAATATGGTAGCCTATTCAAATTTAAATTAATAAAAATTAAATAAAGTAAAAAATTCAGTTAATCCCAGCAGCCACATTTCAGGTGCTCACTAGGTACACGTGACTAGTGGCTACTGTAATGGGAACGCAGACATAGAACATTTCATCATCACAGAAATTTCTACAGTCTCGAGTATGGGTTGGCAAACTGTTTCTTAAAGAGCTGGATAGTAAATATGTAGTTTCTATGGTACCTAGTGAACTCTGCCCTTGTAATAGGAAAGCAGCCACAGACTGTATGTAAACAGATGGGCATGCCTATGCTTCAGTAAAACTTTATAAAAGCAGGCAGCTAGCTCATGGTTGTAGTTTGCTGACCCATGATCTAGAATGTTCTGGCTCTTCTTGGTGCTTTCCGTTTCCATATTAATATTATAATTGCCTTGTTAAGTTCTACCACCCTCAGCCCTCAAAGAGTTGAGATTTTGATGGGGATTGTGTTGAATCTCTAAATTGACTTAGAAGAACTGACATTTGTACAGTGTTGATCTTTCATTTCCTAGACATGGCGTATGTTTACTTGGGTCTTTAATTTTTCTAAATGTTTTCTGCATGGAGGACGTGCACATCTTTTGTTAGATTTATTCCTAAGTTTGATATTTTTGATGCTTTTATAATGATGGGGGCTTTTTCCTTAAATTTCACTTTATTTTATGTTAGATATAGTATATAGAAATGTACTAGATTTTTTGGTATGTTGACTGAATCTAGCATCTTGGCTGACTCATTTCAAATAATATGTCTGTAGCTATTTCTTGGACTTTCTGTGGAAACAATTATACCTTCCATGGATATGAACACTTTTGTTTCTGCTTTTTATTTCATTTTCTTACCTTATTTCACTGGCTAGGACCTCCAATGCAAAGTCCAATAAAAGGGGTGAGTAGGCATCCTTGCCTTTATCTCAAAGGGAACACTTTCTGTAGTTCCTCGTAAGATATGAGGTTTGCTGTGTCAGCTGACATGATCATGAGTTCTACCCCTTCTTCTTCCTGTTAATGTGGCTTTCTGCCTGTCCTGATCTGAGCTAGCATTTAAGCAGAGTAAGATTCTTTAGGTTTCAGTGGGGCCCCCTTTCTAGTGCCAGGAAGGTAGCTGCAGCCTTGATCACAGCAGGAAGCAGCATGTGTCAGCTGCGGAGGCAGCATCATTGGGACAGTTGAGCAGACCAGGCTCCTGGGCTCTGCAAGTGAGCATGGCCATTGCATTTTTCAGTTGATGGGTGTCCCTCCACCCAAATCCAATGAATGGCATCAGAAAGATGAAGGAAGGAAACTGAGAGCACCCCCAGGTGGTATCAGACCTTGGGAGTGAAAGTTATTTCCGTTTTCTCTCCAGTTCCTGAAGGTGATGAGTCTGAGTCATCTCTTGTTGCTATTAACACTCAGGAAGTGGGATTTTAGAGAAATTAGTGAGAGCAGTGTGGCCCTAAGAGAGTGTGGGGTTTATATTAGTTTTCTGTGGATGCCGTGTAACAAATTATCACAAATGTAGTGGCCTATAACACCACCTGTTTATGATCTCACAGTTGTGTGTGTCAGAAGTCCAGGCGCAGCATGGCCCTGCTGGGTCCTCTGCTCGGGGCTCACAGGCTGAAATCAGTGTTGGCTGGTCTGAGCTCTCATCTAAAGGCTCTGGGGAAGATCCCGCTTCTGAGTTGTTGGCAGAATTCGGTTCCTTGCAGCTATAAGACTGAGGTCCTCATTTGCTTTGCATGTGCCCCCGGCCCCCTTCCTCTGCAGTCCAGCAACAGCGCATTGAATGCTTCTGTGCCCCCACTTCTGCCACCTCTCTCTGCTTCCTCTTGTGCTGCTTTTCTCTACCTTTAAGGGCTCTTGAGATTCTACACTGGGCCCACCTGGAAAATCCAGGCTAACCTCTCTGTTCTAAGGTCAACTGATTAGTAACCTTAATCGTGTCTGCAAAACCCCTTTGGCCATGTAATATAACCATCTAACAGAACATAACCATGGGTGTGGCACTGGGGGCAAGGGTCATGGGGTCAAAATTCTACCTAGCACAGGGTATTTTATATATAACAGAGTATTGTTAAGAACATGGTCTTTCGAGTCGGATACACGCCAAGTTTGAATTCCGGCTCTACCACTTACCAACTTCGTGACCTTCGGCAAATTACTCAGCCTTTCTATAACCATAAAGTCAGATAACAGGAATTTCTAATTTAGATGCTTTGAGCAGTACCTGGTACCAGGTAAGTTCTCAATAAATGTTAACTGCAGTTTTACTGGTGGTGCTGGTGGTTATGGAGGGACTTGCTAAGTGACCCTGCTGCACACTGACCTGCATCAAAACACTTTGGTACAGTGCTGTCCCGTAGGACTTCCTGCAGTGGTGACGATGTTCTGGGTCTGTGCTCTCCAGTATAGCAGTTAAGCTGTGGCTCTTGGGCACTTCAAAGGGGGCTGGTGCAACCTAGGATTCCAAGTTTTCATGGATTTACTTTACGTCACTTTTCATCTAAATAGCCACGCATGGCTGGTGCAGCCTAGCAGCAGCGCCAGCACACAGCGTTGTTTTTCACTTGCGTTTATTTATGTTCCGGTTCCATTATGACAAAATCTTGCAGAGTGATGTGCCTATAGGGCAAATAAGTCAGTAAATATTAGCAATACTTTAACATAACTTGAGGAGGAGAGAGGGCTGTTTTTTGTTTGGTTTTGGGTTTTTTCCAATATACAGACAGTAACATGACTTCTGAAATTCACGGTAGAAAGTAACATGGCATGTTACCTCATAGTTTATGGAAGGAAAAAAACAGGGAAGGTGAAAATCAATCTTCGATTTCAGTGATTTTTTTGTTTTAACCGAATTGATTCAGAAGAATGATTAGATTTATGTGGCAGTGTTTGAGACCCTCAGCATTGAGGACATGATGTCTTCTTTTCCAGTTTGCGTTAGGCCTGTTCTCAGAAGTTTATTGTTGGAAGGCAGTGGCAGCACTGCGACTGTTTACTCTGCTCTGGAAGCTTGTCTGTTGCTTTTCTGAGACGGTGTTATTGCCTGTGAACTTCCTGCTTTTACACCAGCATGCATCCCCTCTCTCACCTCACATCATTTTTTTTGTTTAACAGTCAAAATGTTCTTGTCCTACACAGCTCGGTTTTGTAAAGCCCATTTGAGCAAAAAGTATCTTTGTTCGCATTCAGCAGCAGCTGCTTCCACATAAGATAAGTAATAATTAAGTCAATTTATAAATTGGATATTTCTCTAGCGGCAGTGAAAATTACATAGCTTTTGGACTTGAATTGTCTTTTGGACTTGAATTGTCTAAGTTGTGTTTTGTTTTGGGCTTTGTAGCCAGCCTGTCTCGGTCAGCTTTCCTGTCTCAGAGGTATTATGAAGACTTGGATGAAGTCAGCTCAACGTCATCCATTTCCCAGTCTCTGGAAGGTGAAGACACACGGGCATCCTGTAAGGATGACGACGCAGTGGTCCAGGTTCCCCGGCATGCTCCCGTGGTTCGGACGCCTTCCATCCAGCCCAGTCTTTTGCCCCAGGCGACTCCTTTTGCTAAATCTCACCTGATTCATGGTTCACCAGGTGTGATGGGAACTTCAGGTAAGTAAACAATGAGACAGGAAATGATCTTTTTTTCCCTAAGAGATCTCTAACTCCTGTAACTGGGTTTTATATTATCGCATCCATAAGTCATGGGTTCCAGCCCATTTCTGTTAATATTCTAGAAATTACAGGACAGATTCAAGAGGTGTGTTCCTCTTGAAAGTGGTTGGTAGGACCTGAGGAAGAGGATACCCTGCAAGGTTCACAGTTACTGCTTTACTGTGGAGCACAACTTGTGCCTTTCACGTCCCACCTCCTTTCAGCTCCTCCATTGTAGCCATGGTGTGCCTCAGAGTTCACCAGCCAGAATGCTCACTGTCTGTGCTGGCTCGCGGATGTGACCTGTGTTGTGCTGGCACACCTTATTTCAGAGCATCAGGACTTTGTATTGCAGTGACTTCTAAGAGGACAAAGCCGGGCATGAGGTGCCAGGATGGAGAGATTTTATGAGAGGAGAGCAGGACATTGCTCTGTTTTGGCACAAACGTTATGTCTTGCTCAGTGTCGGAGGAAATGGTCATGTGAAGTATTTTCACTAATAGAAGTAGGCAGGCAAATTGCCTGCAGCATCTTTGAAAGGTGAAAGTGCCAGCCTGTCAGGTTGCCAGTACTTTCCTGTGTTAATGCTTAAGGATTTTTAATCTTAACATTTTCCCTGCAACCACACATGGAGAATTTACCATTTTAATTTTTGTGTTTTCTTCTTCTCTGACGCACTCTCTCACTTAATTTATCTTTTTTCCTCAGTGTCTGCACCTGCTAGCAAAATTATTCCCCAAGGGGCCGATAGCACAATGCTTGCAACAAAAACCGTGAAGCATGGCGCCCCGGGCCCTTCCCACCCCATCTCTGCTCCCCAGGCGGCCGCTGCAGCAGCCCTGAGACGGCAGATGGCCAGTCAGCCACCAGGTAAAAACATCTATGCAGGGGCTGATGGTGAGCTGTCTGAGCCCCAGGCCAGGACACAGGTGCCAAGAAATGGTGGGCTCTCTTTGCTGCCCTTCAGAAGACAGGGCTAATGTGACAGGTCTCTCACCTTTTGGGGGAGAGAGTTCTGCGAAGGCAGAGGCTTAGTCGGGAACTTTCCTTTGAAGGGGCAGTATTATCTGCCACATTCAGTTAAGTGGGAGATCAGTGGGGTTTTTTGATGGAGTTGTTAATCCCTACTTTTGAGTAATGTCTGCTTTAAGCCCAAAATTAATCTTCGCAGTTAGATCACCTAATAACATTAGAGTTGTCTGATGGTATCTGAAGGATCCCAGCCACCCTCTGAGGTGGGTATAAGTATGCCCATTTTGCTTTTGAGTAATGTAAGGTTTGGAGAGGTGAAGGTCAGCTGACCAATACGTAACAAAACCCAGACTCCAACGCTGTGTTCTTTGTATTGTAGTACAGCTTTTTCTTAAGACTGCAAATTTAAGATGGAAACTTGACAGATGAAAACTCTAAGAAGCTAATCAGCTGTTGCATTTTGTCAGTGGTTTGTGGCTATCCGTAATTTTCTGCATTAAGATTTATAGGTAGTTCGCCTCGGGACCTCAGTTATCACTGGCTATCAGTCTTTACAAGCCAGTGGTTCTCAGCCAGAGGCTATTTTGCCCCACCCATCTCCCCTCCAACAGTTGGCAGTGTTGCTGCCATTTAGTAGGTAGAGGCCAGGAATGCTGCAAAAAGATCCTAAATGCACAAGACAACCCCACAACAAAGGATTATCCAGCCCCAAAATGTCAATAGTGCCGAGGTTGAGAAACTCGGCTATAAATCGGATATTTTTGTTTTAGCTGAATAAAATTATTTTTTAGTTCTGTAACTGCTTAGAACACATACCAATTTAGACTAAAATTTTAAAAGACTAAAAAAACATGATGGTTTTATTTAGACTAAAAAGAATTACCATTATATAATAAAGATTTCTAAGAAAAGTTCAAATATTAAAACACTTATTAAGCCATCTAAAATAGAAATGAAAGAGCAAAAACCGGAGAACTTTTTAAGGCACTTTTGAGCCGTCTGAAAAAATAAGAAACCTTTGATGTTTTAAATATTTGTTGGACCAAGCAGAATCTTAGCATTGTGCTGAACAGGCCCCAAATAAAGCTGATTGAGTTGGTTATTTATAAACTTAAATCTGTCAGGATTTAGGATTATTCCACTCTCAGCAGGAGGTGGTGTGATGTCTATTATCATTTTGGAAGCAAGTATGTCTAAGGTGTAGGCACCTCTGAATGTGAAGGATGAAATACATGCAGTCATGGGCAAGATGTCCCTGGTTACCTCTCTGAACAAGGGAGTGAAGTGAGCTGCCATGGACCCACTGTCCTACCTGGGCTGCAGCTTTCAACTTTGCCCAAAGTATAGTTGGAAGAGATCTAAGAGCTTTGCTTAGGCCTTCTTAATAGTTAATTATGAAATATCATTGTCTTGGGCCACAGCTTTAAATTGTAAGACACAAAAAAGGAGATATGAAAGCTGACAAGCCTAAGATAGATAAGTAGGTGTCAAGTCAATCCCTGTTGCCATTCCTTAATTCAGGCCTCTTGGCCTCATTTTTCACATTTTATTCATCGTGTCTGTCTCACTAAGGCATGAGCTTCTTTAGACAAGGAACTATGTTTTAGACCTTTTTTTGTATTCCCAGCACCTGAGTCCGACAATAATAAGCTCATGCGAAAGAGTGGTTGAATGAATGAATGCATGATGGATGGCAGAAGCCCTTAGTCCGAGCACTGCTAATCCTCTAGCTCCTTCTGCCCTTTTCGAGGGCGAGCCAACAACATGGCAGGTATCTCAGCTCTACTGTATAAAAGCTGGCTAGGGAATTCCTTGTTTCTAAACTAGTACATTTGCTTAAATTGCATAAAGCTTCACCAAGTAACTTTTCTGAGTGGAGTAGGCCAGGTGCTCCGCTGAGCACAGTGCTGCAGGACGACCTAGATTTCCTTTATATAGTAAGTGCATTCTGCTTGAGTTTGTGTCCTAGTGATTCATTATACCTGGCTAGAATTTTTGATCCTTTACTGCAATTAATGTGCCTTTCTCTTCTCTATTTAAATAGCTGTCAGTACTTTGACCGAATCAACTTTGAAGAATGTCCCTCAAGTGGTAAATGTGCAGGAATTGAAGAATAATCCTACAGCCCCCTCTGCAGCGATGGGGTATGTTACTACTTTTCAGTGTGTTTAAGCCCGTGAATTATTCTGTAATAGTGGTGAACTGCCTGCAGGGGGCAGCATTGCCATTGTCAGAGTGTGCCTATTTTTCCTGCAGAAATTTAGGTTATAAGAGGGGTGGAGTGGACAGCTAATCTTGGGTACACAGTTGGGTTTTCAGGAGATTGTCCTCTTCAACTGGCAGTAGCAGTTGCCTCATAAACCTTCAAAGTCTTGGTGATATATACTCAGTATGCTGTTTGTCATGTGTAAGTCTGCATATGATACACATTACAGTTACTAAGTCAGGTAAGGTATAGGGTTTGATTTTTGATTTTTTTGTTTTTTAATACTCTTGGGGCTCCTGAGTTGGCAGTTCGACTCTAATGCAGACTGTTGATTCTGAAAACCCAGTGATGATCTTGAAATTGACCGTCTCTCCTCCCTTCCTTCCTGTCTCCAGGCATTCCTGTTCTTTCAGGTTTCTCATACCTTTTGTATGAAAAAACAGTCTTTTAAAAGGCACCAGCTCTGTTTGGAGACTTCTAGCTTGACTTCCTGCCATATCTGAGGGCCAGATCATTGCTGCCAGAGCTGACTTTTCTTAAGTCTGAATCTGTGTTTAGAATTCAAGGTATTGACTCCGTGTCACTGTTCTGGGCAGCACGGTTCATAGAATATGCTTGTGCCCTGTTGCTCTGTGTATTTGTAGCCAGGAGCTCTTCAGTGTGGCTGAAGAAGGAAGAGTTGAGGGCCGTTTCCTCAGTCTGAATGTAGGGATCGTGAGAACCAGTGTCATTCAGGCATTTAGAGTCTGGTGCCCATTACTAGTCCAGCGGTGAGATGAACAGCCACAGACCCTGTGTCTTTTCCAGTTTACATTAGCTCTCTCCTACTCCCCTGCCCCCAGGTCTGCTCACTGTTCTGTTTTGGCTTTATCGAGTGGCCCTGCTGCACTAGGCCACTGGCCTCTTTTTTCCACATTGGTCCATTTATCAACACTGCCAGGAATTTCTTAGTTATCTCAGGGCCATACTAACAGCCAAAAACAAGCCTACTCGCTTTCCTATCTTGTAGTGACCTTGAAGCTTTGGTATGCTGTTTCGACCAAGATGGCATTTGTGGTCGTTGTGAACTTCTCAAGGGAAAGAACTATGCATTAGAGTTTGGGAATTATAGCCAGATTCCTAGTGTAGGGTAGGCAAAGAAAAGCCACTGCAAGGCAGAATATTACATAAGACAGGAAAATCCAGCTTAATGGTGAAAGAAATATGGTCTGGTATTTCTGAGATATTTTAGCTGTTAACCATGTGTGAGAAGCACCTATTGGTGATTTCCTTTATCTTATCTCAGGCTTTGTTTCCCTCCAGGGTTCATCTGAGCTAATCACTGATAAGGGCTTTGTTAAAGGAGCAATGCTGAGTTTGCCCTTTTTTCTGACTTAAGAAAAATAGACACAAAACTTAAAAAGGAATCAAAGAAAATCTCTTCCTTTCCCCACAGAATTTGGACTGTGGTGCAGTTATTTAACTCGTAAGCCCAGAGTGGTGCCTGGAATGCAGTTCCTTTTTAATAACCACTTGTTGAATAATAGGTGGATCTAAGCATAATTGACAAGTGGAAATTGGTATTTACCACCTCCCCCAATAAGAAAGCTTGAGAGGGAATTACATTCATTATAAAATTACTTTCAGATTCTCTTAAGCAGTAGTTTGGTAAGCGTATTTTAAATATTTAATTTTGCATTTAACTTTTTCTGAGTAATATCTTAAAGAGATTTATTATAAGATGAGCTTACACATTTCTTGCAAATCAAAACTACAGTGAGGTATCACCCCACACGGTCAGAAGGGCCATCATCAAAAAATCTACAGGGCAGGGCTTCCCTGGTGGCACAGTGGTTGGGAGTCCGCCTGCCGATGCAGGGGACACGGGTTCGTGCCCCGGTCCGGGAGGATCCCACATGCCGCGGAGCGGCTGGGCCCGTGAGCCATGGCCGATGAGCCTGCCATCCGGAGCCTGTGCTCCACAATGGGAGAGGCCACAACAGTGAGAGGCCCACATACCGCAAAAAAAAAAAAAAAAAAAATCTACAAACAATAAATGCTGGAGAGGTTGTGCAGAAAAGGAAACTGTCCTACACTGTGGGTGGGAATGTAAATTGGTTACGGTCACTATGGAGAACAGTATGGAGGCTCCTTAAAAAACTAAAAACAGAACTACCATGTGACCCAGCAATCCCACTGCTGGGCATATACCCGGAGAAAACCATAATTCAAAAAGATACATGCATCCCAGTGTTCATTGAAGCACTGTTTACAATAGCCAAGACACGGAAGCAACCTAAATGTCCGTCGACAGAGGAATGGATAAAGCAGATGGGGTACATATATACAATGGGATATTACTCAGCCATAAAAAAGAACAAAATAATGCCATTTGCAGCAACGTGGGTGGACCTAGAGATTGTCATACTGAGTGAAGTACGTCAGACACAGAAAGGCAAATATCATATGATATGACTTATATGTGGACTTTTTAAAAAAAGCGTACAAATGAACTTAACAAGACAGAAGTAGAGTCATGGAGGTAGAAAACAAACTTATGGTTACGAGGGGATAAGGGGGGGAGTGATAAATTGGGAGACTAGGACTAAGATATACACACTACTATATATAAAATAGATAACTAAATAAGAACCTGCTGTATAGCACAGGGAAGTCTACTCAATACTCTGTAATGACCTATATGGGAAAAGAATCTAATAAAAAAGAGGAGTGGATATATGTGTATGTATAACCGATTCACTTTGCTCTACACCTGAAACTAACACAACATTGTAAATCAACTGTACTCCAATAAAAATTTTAAAACAAAAGCAAACAAACAAAAAAGATGAGCTTACACATTTCTGCCGTTGGTATGTCTTATGTTCATTGGCCTCATCCCTTATATTCACCTCCTGTTTTCAGGAAGAGGGTTTATCTGGAGCAAACCCATGGCTATCTAGACTCCTCTCCAGTGCTCAGTCACTTGATTCAGCAGGTTCCTAAGGGGTGTCTGCCATGAGCATGATAACACCCTGGGTATTTGGGATCCAGTCGTGAGTAAGACATACCAGGTCCCCGCTTTCCCGGCACTTAGATCTTAGCAAGAAGACAGCCACTAAACGACCCATTACATCGACAGTTCTCTAACTGCAGTGTAATGAGTTGGATGAAGGAGACGTACAAGGTGCTAAGAAGGCAAACAGTGAAGGCCATCTGGTTGCATCTGGGGCTGATGAGGAGGTTGGGAAGGAAAAGGTGTTTTAGCTGAAAGTTGAGCAGTGACCAGAAGCTGCCAGGCAGAGTAGAGAGAAGATTGTTATAAACAGAGGGTGCAGGATGTGTAAAAGCCCAGACCTGGGAAAGGACAGAGCATGTTTGAGGTGAAGGTAAAAGAAGGCCAGTATGTCTAGAGACCTGGCAGGAAATGGAGGATGAAGAAAGCAGGGACGAATGAGGTTAGAAATACGGTGGGATTTTTGGTTGGTTGGGTTTTTTTCCAAAGCACACCGGATAGATCATTACTTTCAGGAATTTTGGCATTCGTTTATTCATTCTTTCTACAAATACTTTATGAGCATTTCCTGTATGCCACACACTGTTCTAGGTGCCAGGGATAAAGCAGTTAACAAAACAAAAACCCCCAAACCCTGCCCTTGTCACAGAGAGACAAATGGTACGTAAAATAAATAGTATTTTAGGTGGTGATAGGTATGATGGAGAAAATTAAAGCAGAGAAGGGGTTTAGGGACTGTTGTCTGGACATGGGTTGCAATTTTAAATAGGAACAAGGAAGGTGCTCTTCATACATGGCTAATGACTAAAATATCTCAGAAATATCAGACCATATTTCTTTCACCATTAAGCTGGATTCTCCCGTCTTATGTAATATTTTGCCTTGCAGTGTCTTTTGACACTTAACATTTGAATAAAGACCAAAGACGAGAGCAGGTCGCATGAATATCCTAAGGAAGAAAGCCCCAAGCACCAGGCCTGTAGTGAGACCTGTAGTGAGAGCATGTCTGGCAGGTTCAGGAAGGAGCCAAACAGCCACTGGTGGCTGAAGGGAGAGGGATAGCAGGGCCGGGGCCCAGGATACAGGTCTTGTAACATCTAGTAAGCCTCGGTCAGGACCTGGCTGACCAATGGATGTTGAACAAACTGATCGGATTTATGTTTCCTTTATTAAAAGCAATTTTAGCAATTTTTTAAAATATTGGGGCGTGGGCTTCCCCGGTGGCGCAGTGGTTGAGAGTCCGCCTGCCGACGCAGGGGACCACGGGTTTGTGCCCCGGTCTGGGAAGATCCCACATGCCGCGGAACGGCTGGGCCCATGAGCCATGGCCGCTGAGCCTGAGCGTCCAAAGCCTGTGCTCCGCAACGGGAGAGGCCACAACAGTGAGAGGCCTGCGTACCGCAAAAAAAAAAAAAAAATATTGGGACGTAATTAACACACAGTAAAATTCACCTTTTTTTAGTGTAAAATTCCATGAGCTTTGATAAGTGCAGATAGTTCTCTTGACCTATGGTTTTAGCAGGAGGCTTCTGGTTCTTATATTGAGAATAGATGAAAAGGGCTGGAGTGAGGAATGGTAGAAACAGGGAGAACAGTTAGGAAGCTTTTTTTTTTTTAATTGTAAAATAGATGTATAACAAAATTTATTAATTTAACCATTTTTAAGTGTACAGTGACATTAAGCACATTTACAGTGTTGTGTAACTTTCACCACTATCTGTTTCCAGAACTTTTTCATTATCTCATACAGAAACTGTAGCCATTAAATAGTAACTCTTTACTCCCCCTTCCCTCTAGTGTCTGGTAGCCTTTATTCTACTTCCTGTCTCTAAGAATTTGTCTGTTCTAGGTACATCATATAAGTAGAATCATACAGTATTTGTCCTTTTGCGTCTGGCTTATTTTGCTCGAATTTTCGAGATTTATCCATGTTGTAACGTATG